TCCCAGCTACTTGGGAGAATGAGGCAGGAAAATCACTTCAACCTGGGAGGTGTAGATTGCAGTGAGCCGAGATCGCACCACTGCACTCCAGCCAGGGTGACAGAGCAAGACACTGTCTGAAAATAATAATAAATAAATAAAAATAACATGACAATAATGGGATGGCTACTTTGGGAAGCAGCCAATAGTCCCTCAGAAAGTTAAACAGAGTCACCATTTGATCTGGCAATTCCACTCCTAGTTATATACCCAAGAGATAAGAAAAACACGTCCATCCTAAAACTTGTGCAGGAATGTTCATAGCACTATTCACAACAACCAAAAGTGGAAACAGCCCAAGCGTCCATCCACTGATAAATGGATACACAAATGAGGTCTGTCCCTGCAGTGGAATATCAGCCCTAAGAAGGAGTGTAGCAGGTGCGTGGAATATCAGCCCTAAGAAGCAGTGCAGCATTGGTGTGTGGAATATCAGCCCTAAGATGGAGTGTAGCAGGTGCGTGCTACACCGTGGGTGGACCTTGAAATCAAGATGCTAAGTGAGAGAAGCCAGATACAGAAGGCCACGTATTGCAGGACTTTATTTCTATGAAGTGTCCAGAATAGGTCAACCCACAGAGGCAGAGAGTAGATTTGTGGTTGCAGGAGCCGGGGGAAGCTTGAGGGGACATGGGCAGTGGCTGCTGAAGGGTTCTAGGTTTCCTTCTGGGGTGATGAAAATGTTCTAAAATTGATCATGATGATGGCTGCATAATTCTGTGAATATACCAAAAACCACTGAATTATACACCTAAAAGGGTGCATTGTACAGTATGTGTATTATGTCTCAGAAAATCTGTGATTTTTAAAAATCCAATCACACCAGGCTCCAGGAGCAAAGCCTGGGACCTGCTGCATCTTTGGGGGAAGTTAGGCTTCCAGAAAGAGCACAGGGCTACTGGTTTTCTATGTGGAAAACACTAAAGTGGGCTCCGGCCTCAACAACTTACCAAACAAAGTATCCAGTGCACTAGAGACCCGAGTGTTGGGGGAAGCTCTGTGAATGCTGAGAAGACACTCAGGAGACTCCCATAATAACCATTGGAGAGAAAGTTGGCAATATCCAGTCGACGTGGGAAATGCGTGTGCCCTGTGGCCACATTATTTTCCTTCCAAGTTTATTTCCTAGAAACCTGGGCATGGGTGGGTAGCTATTTATCACAGCATTGCTTGTAATAGCTATAAACTGGAAATAGCCAAACATTCATCCTCAGAGGAATAGATTAATAAACTGTGGCATATGTGTAGAATATAGTACTATGCAGTTAAAAATGAATGAATTAGAACTAGATGAATTATTATAACATGGACAGCTGTTGAAGACACACCAAATGACACACAGTAGGATACTGGTTTGTGTCTATATATTTTTTCTTCTGATTGTCATTGACTTGAATCTCATTCGTATATATCCTTGCAGGAGGATATGCAATCTGAAGCCCAAATGGTGTGGTTTTGTGTTTTTTTTGTTTGTTTGTTTGTTTGTTTTTGAGACAGAGTCTTACTCTGTTGCCCAGGCTGGAGTGCAGTGGCATGATCTCAGCTCACTGCAACCGCTGCTTCCCAGGTTCACCCTCAGCTTCCCAAGTAGCTGGGATTACAGGCATGCATCACCACGCTCGGCTAATTTTTGTATTTTTAGTAGATAGGGTTTCACCAGGGTGGCCAGGCTGGTCTTGAACTCCTGACCTCAAGTGATCCGCCCGCCCTGGCCTCCCAAAGTGCTGGGATTTCAGGTGTGAGCCTCTGTGCCCAGCCTATGGTGTGAAACTTTCAAACCCGTTTCAATGCTCACCTGCCAGATGGACAGGAATTCCAGGGTCACCTGCTGGGTTGCCCAGAAAGCAGAGTCTTACCTGCTGTGACAGACAGTCTGGTCAACTTCCACAGGCAAGCAGGGGGCCACCTGGGCAGGGCCTGTCTGCTGTGCCACAGGCTCCTCCCTGCCACAGGTGGCTGTTGCGGGTGCTGCTGGACTTCTGCAGCTGGGTCCCACCTGCCAGCCACGTCTCAGGTCACGTGGCCTTTCAAAGTCACGCCAAGCTGTGGGCCACTCCCTATATCTGAGCCACACGTCACCTGAGACCTCCACGTCTGTTTCAGACTCCCTGAGTGAGACACGAGGGCTGCTGCTCGGGTCTCCTCAGGGGTCCCCATCTCTGAAAGGCCCCTTCATGGACCAAGGGCCTTTTTGTCACTAAAGGCAGGGGAAATGAGGGCACAGGTTAGACGGTAAAAGGGGCACCCCTCAGCTGCATCCTAGACCTGGAAGGGAGTGTGACCTGTGCCCCAGAAGACAGGGAGGGACGTATCCAGCGGTTGATGCTGAGGGCTAAAGCTAGATGGGTCAAGGCCTTCTGTCTGCACTATTATTTTTATTTATTTTCTTTATTTCTTCCTATCTTTTTTTTTTTTCTTATTTTAAATTTTTTTTTTTTGAGACGGAGTCTTGCTCTGTCACCCAGGCTGGAGTGCAATGGCGCGATCTCGGCTCACTGCAAGCTCCGCCTCGCGGGTTCACGCCATTCTCCTGCCTCAGCCTCCCAAGTAGCTGGGACTACAGGCGCCCGCCACCACGCCCAGCCAGTTTTTTGTATTTTTAGTAGAGACGGGGTTTCATCATGTTAGCCAGGATGGTCTCGATCTCCTGACCTTGTGATCCGCCCACCTCGGCCTCCCAAAGTTATTTCTTCCTATCTTTTTTGAGACAGTGACTCACTCTGTCACCGGGCTGTAATGCAGTGATGCGATCATAGCTGACAACAGCCTCAAACTCCTGGGCTCAAGCAGTTCTTCTACCTCAGCCTCCCGAGTAGCTGGGACTACAGGTGTGTGCCACCATGCCTGGCTAGTTGTTTTTTGTATTTTTTGTAGAGACTGGGTTTTGCCATATTGGCCAGGCTGGTCTCAAACTCTTGGACTCAAGCGATCCTCCTAGCTCGGCCTCCCAAAGTGCTGGGATTACAGGTGCAAGCCACCATGCCCAGCTATGCACCGTTATTTTTATAAACCTCATCTCTGGTGACACTTGCCCCAGTTTCCCTGGAAGTTGACCCCAGGCCCAGCTCTTGAGGGTTTGTGGGAAAACCCCAGGAGTAACAGTGCCTGTGACAATCGCTGACATGTCGAGTTACACGTAATATGCCTGGGCGGTGCGATGGCTGAGTGTGACCCTCCCAGCAGCCTGTGCAGTCGCCCCTGTTATTATCTCCATTTCATGCCAGTGAAAATGGCGGTAACTGGCAGTAACTTGCTGTGCCACCCTGGGCAACTCCCTTCTCTGGCTCTCTTATGTATAACCAGAAGGGGTTTCTTCTCGAAGCCACAGGCAAGCGGAAGGTGCTGTGCAGAAGGGCCAGAGGTACATGGCACAGGGTGGCTCCATGAGCCCCAGTGGCCAGGGCCACTGTCCTGACAGCAAGGGAGACAGAGACGCCACAGGGCAGGCCTCCGGGGCTTTGCAGGGTGAGCTGGTGCCAGAGCAGGGTGTGCGCAGGGAGGGTGCTGAGGGATCTCCGCGGAGTGGTCAGGTGAGGAGGGAAGGGCGCTCCTGGCAGGGAAAGCAGAACAGAGGGCAACGCTGGTGGAACTGTGCGTAGCTGAACGTGCTGAGGCTGGTGCCTGTTGTGGAAGTCTGGTGGCTGAGTGAGGGGTCAGCAGATGGGCACAATGTCCAGGCTGAGGGCGCAGAGATCCCAAAACCACTTTCCTTCCAGGGGCCTGTGAAGGCCGGGCATGCAGGACGCTTCTGTCCTTGCTCCTCACCCATTACCAAACAGGCCAAGGACAATTCACAGCAGACACAAAACCAATACGTAGCGAAATGGCCAAGGAGCCTAGTAAGTAACTGAGGAAATCCGCTGTCTCCGGTGGTGGGCTTCGGGGAATCTCCCCAACCTTCTTTTTTAAATCACGTTTATTGAGGTACAGGTTGAGTGTCCCAAATCCGTAAATCCAAAACCCCAAACATTTCAAGCACCAACATGACGCTCAAAGGAAATGCCCATTGGAGCGTTTGGGATTTCAGATTTTTGAATTTTTGAAATTTTGAATTAGGGATGCTGAACTGGTAAATAGACTGCAAATATTACAAAATATGAAAAAAATCAAAATTCAAAACATCTAGTCGAAGCCTTTCAGATAATGGATCCTCAACCTGTATCATTCATACCCAGTGAGTTTTTCTTTTGTTTTCTTTTCTTTTTTAGAGACAGAGTCTTGCCCTGTCGTCCAGGCTGAAGTGCAGTGGTGCAATTATACCTTATTGCAGCCTTGAACTCCTGGGCTCAAGCGATCTTCCCACCTCAGCATTGTGAATACCTGGGACTGCAGGCATGCACCACCATGCCCAGCTAATTTTTAGTTTTTTGATAGAGATGGGGTCTCGCTGTATCGTCCAGGCTGGTACAGTCTTGTTTCCACCACCACAATCAACATACAGAATATGACCCCGGAAAGTTCCCCAGCCCCAGGCAACCACTGACCTGTTTTCTGTCTCAATAGTGTTGCCTTTTCCAGATTTTCCCATGAAGCAGTCAGATAGTGTGTCTGTGAAGCCCTGTGAATCTGGCTGCTTTGACACAGAGAAATGCGTTAGATTCATCTGTCAGTTGCATGTACCAGGAGTTTGGTCCTTTCTATTGCTGAGTGGTCTTCCGTTGTTGGTTAGTTCCCCGGTTGAAGGGTGTGTGGTCGTTTGCAGTTTTTGGTGGTGGTAGAAAGCTGCAATGAACAGGTTTTTGTGTGGACATATGTCTTCATTTGTCTCTCCTAATCCCAACTTTTGTCCATATGCATTTTCTAGTGCTTCTCTAATAAACCAGTATTATTTATGCCATGAAAGTCACAATTTTAAAATATGCAAAGTAAAGCAACTATGAGATATCCTTTTCTGCCTCTCAAACCAGCAAGGATTTTTTAAGTGATAGCATTCAGCTTTGTCACAGGCACTGTGTGTCAACCGTGCAGCCTTCCTGGAGAGGAACTGGCAAAATAAGCCAGACATGGGCGTGCCTTTGGGCGGTGCCTTCACTTCTAGGGATGCAGGTATTCGTTGGACAGATGTTTGTTCAGCCCCCCAGTGCCAGGCGCAAGGAGTTGGTAGTGGGCGAGACCGCAGAGCACGCTCAGCACGGACAAAGCAGTTGTCATGCAGTTATCCATGCAGGAAGACGGGGAGTTTTGCAAAGAGGTTGAGGACCTCTTGTCCCCTTCTCCAGCCTGCACATGACCTCCCTGTCATACAGAAAGAAGCCTGAGCCTGGCTTCCAAGCACCATGCTTGTGCTTGCCGGCTGTGTGACCTTGGGCAAGTCACTCCACCTCTCTGGGCCTCAGAGGGAGACAGCTGTTCTGCATCAGAGTCTAAGGCCTGAATGGCTGTGGAGGGAAGAACATCTGTGTGGCCTCCCTGTTACTGCACAAAAGGTCTTGTCCTTCCTCAGAGCTCCAACGAGGTAGTGGTGACGGTTGTACAACTCTGCAAGTCTACTAAAGGCTACTGCGTTTTATACTTCAGAAAGATTGATTTTATGGTATGTGAATTATATCTCAACAAATCTATTTTATAAAAGAAGCTTGAGGCCGGGCGTGGTGGCTCGTGCCTGTAATCCCAGCACTTTGGGAGGCTGAGGCAGGTGGATCACCTGAGGTCAGGAGTTCGAGACCATACTGGCTAACATGGTGAAACCCTGTCTCTACTAAAAATAAAAAAATTAGCCGGGCGTGGTGGCGGGTGCCTGAAATCCCAGCTACTCCAGAGGCTGAGGCAGGAGAATCGCTTGAATCTGGGAGGTGGAGGTTGCAGTGAGCCGTCTCAAAAAAAAAAAAAACTTTGAACAAGAGACCAACTCTGCTAAAAGCTCTGTTCTGGTGGGAAACGTGAGCCTGATGAAAATTAGGCTTCCAGAAACGAGGAAAAATCCCTTCCCTAGGGGGATGGAGGCCTCCCCGCCATGGTTCACTTCAGGAGCGTGTGTGTGAACAAGGGGATGGAGGCCCCCCCACCATGGTTCACTTCAGGAGCGTGTGTGTGAACAAGGGGATGGAGGCCCCCCCACCATGGTTCACTTCAGGAGCGTGTGTGTGAACCGAAGGGCGCTGGATAAAGGGACCACTTGCTTCTCGAAAACAATGTCTCGCCTTTGCCACAAAACAGCGTTGGGAAAATGCAATGATGAGGACAAAAGAAGGGTCCAGGAATCTCTCCAGGGACAGAAAGCTCTTCGAATCCCTGCTGGCTTGATCTATACCCCATAGCATGTCCCCATCCTCTGCCTGTCCCTTGGCTGTAATTCCAGATACCTGAGGCCAGATGTGGACAAGAAATCCAAACATAAGACAGCGGTGAAGAAAAAAACCCTGAACCCGGAGTTTAACGAGGTATGAGGGGCTGGTGAAGCTTCACGAAGGCCACTCCTCTGCCCCAGGGCAGTGGGGGTGTGGCTGGGTTTTCAAAAGGTCGTGGTGGGATGGGGAGGGTGGTCAGAGATGGTGGGGAGGGGCCGCACCAAGCCACAGACACAGGGGAGCTGGGGGACCCCTGGAAAGCTCTTGGCAGGACTTGTCGGATGTAGGGCTGGGGAGAGGGAAGTGTTGAGGGGTGTCCTGGGTTCCTCATGGAGGCCACGGGGCGAAGAGGGGGGTGAGGAAGATGGGGAGAAGCTCTGTGTGGGACAAGGGGACTGGAGTCACCCTGGGGCCCCAGGAAGGTCTTCAGCCCAAGGTGGCGAGTACAGCTGGAAACGCGACTCCCCCCAAGGAACAAGAAGGAAAGAAGAGCGGAGGGGCCTTGGGTAGAGCCCACGCCACACCCGTGGTCCAGAGGCAGGCAGGGGAGGCCGAGAAGATGCTTCCGGGAAGTGAGGGGAACCCCGGATGGAAGGGAGGGTCCCACAAGCTGTGGGAAAGAGGGACCCACAGAAGGGAGGGGTCAGCAAAGCCAGGCCCCAGAGAGGCCCAGGACGACAGGGACTGTGGGGCGGGCAGTGCCTCTGCAGTAAGGAGGCTCCCAGGATATGGGGAGAGCAGGCTCAGGGACAAGGAACAAGTGGGCGAGGGGATGGGGGCCCTGAAAACCCCAGCTGAGCTCGGGGAAGTGGGCGAGACGTGTGAGCGTCCACCCGTCGTCCACCCTGAGCACTGATCACCCCCGTCCCCCCTCTTTCCCTACACCTCATACCCCTCCTGGCCACCGGCCGAGGCCCAGCCTCGTGGCATCAGCCCTGACGCTCCCTTCTGCCCAGCAGGAGTTCTGTTACGAGATTAAGCACGGGGACCTGGCCAAGAAGTCCCTGGAGGTCACCGTTTGGGATTACGACATTGGAAAATCCAACGATTTTATTGGTAAGGGGGCACAGTGGGAGCATCGTCTCGTGTGTGCCTGTCCCGGATCAGGCCACAGCACCTCCTTCCTGGTCCCTGCGGGAAGCTGGAGCCACCGACCACCTGTCCCCAGACCTGAGGGGCCTCAGACCTTCTCCAGCCTGAGCGCTGTGCCCCAGGAAGAGACAGGCCCAGAGAGGGACGGAGTTCTGGGAGGGCCACACAGCACTGTGTGGTGGAGCACAGACAAGAGACGATGATGGGCAGTGCCTCGGGCTGGACTCTGAACCCTAGAGGCCCCAGATTCCTGGTGGGCCTGGTGGCTACGCACAGTGGGGCTGCTCGGCCCTTTCTCCCCTCTTCGGGCCCCATTCCTTGACCCCTGACACTGCCTCTGCACCCTGCCCCTATCCCTGCCCTGGTGGAAGAGGGACAGGATGGCTGGGCCCTGACGGGGCTGGAGTGTGGCATGGAGGGCAGGTCCTGTTCATGCCCGGAACTCAGCGGGCAGTGGGAGAGGCTGGCCTTTGAGCACAGAACCTGGGAGGGGGCACGGGTCCCACGCCTGGGAGTCGGGGGTCCCTGTGCCCCGGCTGCCCCTCCTGTCCTCCCGCAGGTGGCGTGGTTCTGGGCATCAACGCCAAGGGGGAGCGCCTGAAGCACTGGTTTGACTGCCTGAAGAACAAGGACAAGCGCATCGAGCGCTGGCACACACTCACCAGCGAGCTCCCGGGGGCCGTGCTCAGCGACTGACGCCCGCCTGCCACTGCCACCCCCACCGCCACCTGCGCCCAGCACGGCCGGCCCAGGCTTCCCCAGCAGCCACCAAGGCCTGTGGCCCCCACATTGGGGGAGATCCAGAACCCCTGCTTGGACCCAGAGCCACTGCAGTCCCCGCTCGGAGGACGTGGAGGGCTCAGCCACTCTGGGACGGGGAGGGCAGGGAGCTGGGGGTGCTCTCAGCCCTCTGGGGCCCAAGAGGCCGGTGGTGGAAGGAGACCTCAGCACCTGCCCAGGGGAAGGGGACAGGCCCATCTGGGAGCAAAGACCTTCTGGAGGCCAGCCCAGGCTGAGAGGACAGGAGTGTGGGGGCACCCTGGGGGACAGTGGGAACAGAGGAGGGAGGTGGTGAGCAGACAGACAGGTGGAGGACGGGACCTTGAAGACCGACGGCTCCAGCCCAAGGAAGGCTGACCGCATCCCTCATCTCCATCGCTGCTGGGCCGAAAGTCTGCAGAGTTCCCGGAGGGTAAATTGGCACAGGCTTCACTCAGTGATTCCACAAGCCCTGCGGGTGGGTGAGACACAGGGCCTGCCCTCAGGGAGTTCCCGTCTAGTCAGGGAGCTGGGAACAAACCACTCCAACTGGGGCGAGAAATACTGAGACCAGCCTGGCCAGTCTGCAAATGCCATGGGCTCTGCTGACGGCCGGGAGGTCAGGGAAGGCTTCCTGGAGGACGCGGTGCTTCTGTAAGGCCTTGGAGGGTGAGTGGGGAGTTCTAGGTCTAAAAAGGCCTGGAGGAGAGAGAAGGCCGATGGGGCTGGGAACTGTGGACCCAGGGTCTCCTCTCTGAGGCAGGGTTTGTTAGGAAGGTGTGAGGCTTGAGGCAGGAGGTGGGGGAAGTGATGGAAGCACCAGGAGAAACTGGTGCTGGTGCAGGGCCAAGTTCAGACCTCAGACCCAAGTCTCCCACTTCGATCTCTTTCCACTCCTGAGGGACCTCGAGGACGGAGCCCGCCACTCCTTCCCGGCGTAAGCATCAGGTCAGCTGCAGTGGAGAAAGGGGTCCCTTGGGCTTGGAAAAAAAGCAAGCGTTCCTGTACGTTCTCAGTCTGCCCTTTCCCTTCCCCTCCACTTCCTGGCTCACACTGAGTACTGGGGGCCTCCAGGTGCTTGCTCATGGCATCTTGGTCCTACCACCGCCACAGATGTCCCTTCTGGGAGTAATCAGTGGCAGTCCAGGGCCTTGTCTCTGGGGAGGCCTGTGGGGCTGGCTCCACCCTCCAGGAGCTGAGCAGGAACCGCCCTGCCTGGTGGGCCTGTCTGCTTCCCTGAGTTCGGCTCCCAGGAGGCTTCAGAGTATCTGAGTCTTGGGGCCCATGCCTGAAGCCCACAAACTTTCCCTGCCTACCAAGGGGCCCCCAGGAACACTGGGTGAACAAATGCAGAGCCAAGGTGTTGCACAGCCAGACTCCTTTTGGTCAGCCCATCCGTGTGTGATGGAAACAGAGGCCCAGAGAGGTTAGGTGACCTGCTCAGGGCCTTCCAGCCCCCACAGGGCTGGAACCAGGATCCACAGCCCCCAGCCCAGAGTGCTGGACCCGACACTTCAGGGGAATTGCTGTGCTGAGCTCACATGAGAGAGGTCCTGCTAGCTGCCAGCCTGGGGCTCACCCGCCTGCTGCCCACCCCTTCAACACCGTTAGAGGGACTGACAGGCACGATGGTGGGAACTTCCACTGCAGACACAAAGCACAGCACCACCTGAGGTGCAGGGTCATGATTTGAATCCCACCAAGTGCCCATCATGCCTTTCCCAGGTTGCAGGGAAAACAGGACCCCAGCCCTACACGGTCCCTGGCCACCTGCTGCTCATGGAGCCTTGTCTGCCCACCTTTAGGAAGGGTTTTGTGTGTGAAGGCGTTTGCATGCACTTGTCTGGACACGTCTTCACAGCCCTGTGAGGTGGATTTGATTCTCATCCCCATCTTGCAGGCGAAACATGTTCCCAGAGTTGGAGTAGTTTGCCAAGGCCACAGAGCCAGGAAGGGGTGAGCCAGGACTCAAACCCAGGTCTTATGACTGCCACTTTCTCTCTCTGGGGGTCGGTACCCCCAGTCCCTTCCCTCCTGGTCTGTCAGAGACTCAGCGGAGACCCCAGGTGTAGGCTCAGTAAGCTCGGTGCATGATGGAGACCTGGGGTCTTGCCACTGTCCTGCCCCCTCGTCTGCTGGCTTTGAAACCATCTGTGCTACTTCAGGCTTCCCCAGAGGTGCCTAACCCGGCCCCAGAATTCAGCCACCCCACCCTAGCCTCTGGGGGCTGAGGCAAGGGCCCCTCTTTTCTCCACACAGAATGGGCATCCTCGGGGGGCCTAAGGTAAGAGGTGGTCTATTTCTAAAAGGCCTGGTGTCTCCGTAAGTTCTGGGCATCGTCTTAGCTTTGCTTTTTTTGTGGGTCTCATTCAGAGAGGAGACTTGACGGCCTCTCTGAAGACACAGAAGTGAATGGCAAAGCTAGAAGAGGCTGCACCCTCCAGCTAGCATGACTTCCTTATAGGCACATGGGGAACGTGGGGCCTGTGGGCGGACGGGGCCTGCAGGGGCACAGCTGGGGCAAGAACCCAGAGCTCCAGCCCCCCAGTCCAGGGCCCTCTACTGCCCAGGCTGCACAAATGGGGCTGGGCCTGAAAGATGGGGACAGTCAGGTTGGGAGGCGGGCTCACTGGCCATCCCGGGGGCAGCACGGGCACTGGGGCGGGAACCCCCCAGGAAATTCGGAAACCTTCCTTCCCCAGGATCCCAGCACCCTTCTAGATCCCGTGCAGATTGTCTTTCTGTTAAAGTGCTTTGAGGCCGGGCGGGATGGCTCACGCCTGTAATCCCAGCACTTTGGGAGTTCGAGGTGGGAGGATCACCTGAGGTCGGGAGTTCGAAACCTGCCTGGCCAACATGGCAAAACCCCGTCTCTACTAAAAATACAAAAATTAGCCAGGCGTGGTGGCGCTCGCCTGTAGTCCCAGCTACTCAGGAGGCTGAGGCAGGAGAGTCGCTTGAACCCGGGAGGTGGAGGTTTCAGTGAGACAAGATCACATCACTGCACCAGCCTGGGCGACAGAGCAAGACTCCGTCTCAAAGAAAAAAAAAAACCCACAAAAAAAATGCTTTGAGAAGCTGCAGAAGCGGCTCTGCCTTTGACCCCGAACAGGCATCTTTACTCGGGTCCATCAGCCCCACAAGACAGGAAATCTGATGCCAAAAAAAAAAAAAAAAGTCATTCCAGATGTCAGCAACCAGGCGCCGCGTCCGCCCCGCCCCGCCC